AAACAATCCTACCCCTTCTTAGTGACTGGTACCATCCATCCTTCGACTTGAGTTTCCTCTTCTCTGTGGCTCATGCTAGAATGCAAGGCAGGCTCACAGCTTCTCCATTGCCTTCTTGCCTCTAAAACAAATGGAATGCTTTGGAGGGTTTTAATATTGCAAAGAGAGACAGGATTAAAAAACAAACAAACAAAAACAGGTGCAGTAAGAATCGCGATATGTCCTGAAAGTTTAGAATGGTATTTATTCCCATAATGCCTCAAAATTGAAATGAATCAAGAGTGATTTCTCTTAGGTCTTTCTTTATTCTTCTCTTGCCTTTTCTCAAAATACGAGTTTCGAGTAAACACCTCTTTTAATTCAGGGGCTGATGCTACTCAGTCTTCGCCTTCCTTCAGCAGACTTTTCCCTTCACTCTCCCAAGTCTGTCTTGCAAATAACCCTGAGTAGGAGGACACAGAAATGAAAAGGATGTGTCTGTGAGTTATACAGCGTTACCAGGAGCCTCTGCTTCATAGTTTATCATGCCTGTACTCGCCTTGTATACTGGGAGGTAGGTGTTCAGGACGAACGTCATTATCAACATTTCCACCACCTTGTAGACAGGAGGCTGAGGCTCAAGGATGCTGGATGATTTGCCCGAGATTGCACAGCTGTTAAGTGACAGTATGAGAACTTCCTAGTAGATACCTTTGCTCCTGACATTTCAGAGAAAACTTCAAATGGCTTCTATCTCAAAACAGCCCTCTTTCTGGTATGAAAACTTGCAGCTACTTAAACAATATCAGGTGTTTTTCTCTTGGCAAAGTCACAGAAGAAGGGAGGGACATGCAAAGGGGGGTTGGGAGTGGGGGATAATTGGGCCGGGAGCATTGCTCACAGACCACCTCCTCATATCTTTAATTAACTAAGGAGCCACAGGATTAGCAGAAAGGTCTCCTTTAAAAACAGAAGTACCTTCTGGGAAGATTAAGACTCTTTCAGAGACACCCAGATGAGCCGGATAAACTACGGGAGTGGCCCAGTGTAGCAATTCAAGTGTGGAACATTTAAACAACCGCAAGTCAAGAGGTCTTTAAAATAAGGAGTTCTTTATACAATGGAATACCAGACAGCAATAAGAATGAATCAGCACGCAACCACACGAGTAAATCTCACACACATGAATAAATGAATACATGTCAGATGATTCCATTTTTTGAAAACAGGTGAGCTTAATCCATGCTGTTTTAAGAAGGGATACTGGTCACTCTCGGGTGGGGTAGGGGCTGGGGTAGAGGGTAGTTAGTAAAGCAAACTTTAGGCGTTCCTTACCTTCCTTGCTCCTGGAAACCCTGAGTAGGGGCCACAGTCCTCAGAGTCAGACGGACCTGGATTCAAATCCTGATTCTACACCTGAGTGACTGTGAACAAGTAACTTAAGTTCCCTGCGCCTCAGGTTTTCCCATCTATAAAATGGGACTAATAATACCTTCCTCCAAGAGTTGGTGTGAGAAGTCAATGAACTCATGGATGTGCCACGCCCCGGCAGTGTGTGTGGGTGCTGCAATAAATGTAACTGTGATTATCCCGCCCCTGCCTGATGGTAAACCAGGCTCAGAGAACAGATAGGAGAGAGCGCAGAGGAGCAGGAAGGGGAAGGACCAAACAGCCTTGTGATCAAAGAAGCGCAGAATCCACTCACATGCCATACGGAGAGGGCTGTTTCTCCCCTTCCCGCTGCCCACACAGTCTCCCAGGTCCTGCTGCTTACAAGCGCAGGCCAGCCCAACACAGACAAAACAAAGCTGTTTTGGTGCCATCCACACAGGCCCCACTAGGGACCTGATACTAATCTGATAAACCCATTTGTACTGATGCTCTCGCAGTGGTTGCTGGCAGCTTTACTGGGTTACCCTCCTGGTTAAGCTGCATTTTAACCAGAGACTTATGGAACATATGAGTCTTTGCCCCAGGCCGGGTGGAATTTCACCTTATCCCAGGTCAGCAAAGAGCCAGGTGGGGTGGGTCGGGGGGGCAACATAAACAGGGTAGTGTCAAGGCCCGGGCTGCAGGAGTAAGCAGAGCCCAGGAGGTCCGAGGTGGAGGGACATGCAGGCTTTCCCTCCTGACTGAGAGTGAGAACAGGGCCGGGTGACTTGGGGTCTCTCCACCTACGCGAGAAGACAGCTGTGCCTCTGGGAAGCCCTGTCAGCTAAGAGGCCCACAGCTCCTGGGAGAGCAGAGCGGAGGAAGACTTTTTGGTCTTGATTTTTGTATTGTTAGATGAGCTCTTAGGGCATCCATACAGGGAATACTAGTCAGCAACCAGAAGGGGCAAACTGCTGACCCCCACAACATGGGTGGGCCTTGGGGGTGTCATGCTGAAGTGAAAAGCCAGACTCAGGAGACTACATGAAATAATGGACGGGGCAAAATTTATGTATACTGACAGCAAGCCTGGGGCCCAGCAGTGGGACTGACCACAAAGGGCACTGAAGGACATTTTTTGGGTGATGGAAGGATGCTGTAACTTCACTGAGCCGCTGGTTATGAGGGCGTATGCATTTGTCAGAACCCATTGAACTGTGCACTTGGAATGGGTGCAATTTATTTTATGCAAATTATCTTGCAATAAAGTTGCTTTTAAAGAAAAAAAAAATGATGTCTTAGTCACAGAGGTTGTTCACTCTGGGAGTGACCTGGAGGCCTGTTGAAGAACCTCAGTCAGTCAGAGCCTCTGTCATTCTCCCAGCACGTTAACGCTGGTTCCGTACCTTACAGTTAGTGAAGCGCTTTCTCCTCTTTTGACCATCACACCCACTCCATGAGGTGGGCACGATTAACCCCATTTTATAGCTAAGGAAACGGAGGCACAGAACGGCTAAAAGAGCTGACCTAAATCTCCCCGCTCTGAATACCGCCATCTTTCCTGGAAAAGGCCTCAGAGATCATGGGGATCTGAAGAAACCAAGGTCTAGAGAGTAGAAATCACTTGAGGAAAGCCACCCTGCTAGTCAGAGAGGCCACAATCAAAGCTGTACCCCTCCCACAACGAACGGAGTGAGCAATTGTTAACTCAGGGTCTTCCAGAATAGAGATGGAAGTGGGCTTTCATTCCCCTCCTGCGCAGCTTCCAGACCTGGACAGAGACGCAATCCTACACCAGGAGCAAGCCTCTTCTGCAGCCCTCTCCACTCCCCGCTCACTCAGGGCCAGCCCCACCCCAGCCCCTGGAGTCCCAGGGGTCTGGTACTAACAAACTACAGCACCGAGCACATGCATTACCTCACCACAGTCTGGCTGATTTCCTAGCAGCAATTGTCCAAAGCTTGCTCGGCTCCCCCCACCCCCCACCCCCCTTGGTTGGCTGTGCCATTCACCCATTCCTCCCTGCTGAAATCACAAATCTCTGGCCCCAGCGAGCCTGCAGGAGCCTCTGCCTCCTCCCCAAAGTCCTTACCATTAGAAAGAGACCCCTGGTGCAGAGCAGTGTGCGTCCTATGGCCCCTCTGTGTGTGTATATTCCAAAGCATGTATATGTAGGGGAGAAACATATGATGGTGTGTACACAGGGAAAAAACCCAGGAATCACAAGAAACAGTTGATGGTGGTTAACTTTGGGGACAGGATTTGGAGGACGGGAGGAGGGAGGATTCTACTTTCCATTTTGTTTTTTCTGTTCAATGTGAGTTTTCCAACCAAAGTACATGGATTACATTTATTTATGCCAGTGAGGATAGTCTAGGCCAGGAAATTATGAGCCATTTTCTTCTTACTCCTATCTGCATAAAAAAGATGAAAAATTGAGAAGTATTAACTTTTGGAAAAAAAATAAGCACCTATAATGTACCGCCTCCCTTCCTCCACAATGACTGAAACATGCAACAGCTTAAGTCATAGAAAAACCATGGATGATTCACCCAAAAGAGACGGAGCCAGGGAGGGGCGCAGGGAGGAGAGGCCCCAGGAACGGAGCCTACAGCCAGCTCCTCAGTGGTACATCACTCCCCTTTGAGCCACTGTGTCCCCCTTCATGCACCACTCTTGCCTGTCACTGGAGTCAGGTGTGCTTGCTGCACGCACTAGCCTCCAACACTCCTCAGACTAATAGTTTGTTTAGGGCAGGGACTGTCTTACTCTTGCTTGATGCTTTCAGAGCTTAATGCATGCAGAGTAGAAACTGAATAAACATTTATTAAATATAATGTAAGGCAGCCTCCGAGAGGGTGGGAGGGCCGTGGGTGGATACCACTACAGGGCTGTTGCAGGCTGGATCTGCTCCTTCTTTACCACTTGTGCTCAGAACCTCACAGATTCCTCATGTTTGCTCTGTAAAGGGCATGGTAAGGTTCAAACTCCTTAACGTGTTTATCAAGACTTTCCCTGCTCTGGCCCACATCCGCCTTTCTACCTCCCTCCCAAGACAAATCCTGTGCCCCAGCAGTCAGACGGGTCCATTCACCACTCCCAGAGCACACCTTGAGGCTCCCCGTCCTCAGGCCCTTGCTCATGCCTTTCCCAATCTCTGCCACTGAAAAACTAGTTCCCATGTCTTCTTGAAGACTCAGCCGATGTGCCCCGCCAGCTGGGCCTACTTCCTCTTTCAGCCTTCCAGGTGCTTCTCTAAGGGTTGTGCCCCGCCATGCATTGCCTTATGGTCATCCAAGCTTCCCCGACTGGAGCATAAACTTCTGTCTTGCCCGGGGTCTATTACAGTGCTTGGCCCTGAAGAGAGGGAGAAAGAGAAATACAAGGATGTAGTTCAAATCCGAGGTAGGATTAGGCTAAAGGCTGGCTCAAGACTGGGTTGGGTCTAGAACTGGAATGAGAACTGGGTTAGTCATTCCTAATCCCACCCACTAGGCGGCACCCGCAGTCCCATTCCGGACAAGACGCCTCCGGTTCTTGAAGTTTACTACCTGCCTGACAAGTTTCCTTCCTGCCCTACTGTCCCTTTAAGAAGGTGATCCAGGTGAGGCCGGGGCTCCGCCCCCGGAGCTGGCCCCGCCCCCCGCCCCCGCCCGGCTAGTCCAGTCCGCGGGACCGGGCGCAGCGGAGCGGGCCGCGGTCCCAGGTCCCGGCCCGGCGCCATGGAGCGGCGCTGGCCCCTGGGGCTCGGGCTGCTGCTGCTGCTCTGCGCCACGCTGACCCCGGGGGCGCGCGCCAAGGAAGGTACCGACCCCCACCCCCGCCCCCCGGGCCCGGCAGGCCCCCTCCTTCCGGAGCCGGCATTCCTGAGGAGGCCTCTCCTCGCGCCCCGCTCCTGCGCTATTTCCCCGCCCGCCAGGAGATCGACCGCCTAGGCCAATCTTTGATCTTTAACCCCAAACAACTACCTTTCCCGGGTCAGTCACCCCTGGCCCTGCTGGCCAGCAGTTTGCGCCTGGGGGTGGGGAGTGAGCGCCTGACAGCTGCGAGGCAGCAGCGTCCAGACCCGCACCCCAGCAATCGTGGGGACCCCACATTCCCAAGCAGTCTTAGCCTTAGGTGCCCAATCCAGAGATCTGAACCCTCTGAAGTCAGAGGTTGGAAGTCGCCTTCTGCCAGCGTCTGGGGGCAAAGCTAGGGTGCAGGGGTTCCCAGTGGTAGAGGTCAAGCCTTAATGTGAAGGCTTACACAACCTCTCCAGCCCTATTACTCCCACTTCGCACACTCAGAGCCGAGCCTTGTACCCCACTGCAAACTCGTAATCACAGGCAGAACACGAGGGAGCCTCCCCACCCAGGAACCCCCTCTAAAGTCCCCTGTCCACAGCCTACCCACTCCAGACCTCCAGAGGCTGAGCGCCTCTCGTCAAAGGCACCCTTTCGGTTCTACAGCTGATGGGTCCCCCCCAGGCTGCACCAGCCCCCGCTGGGTGACAGGGTGCACGTCTTCTATGGGGCTGCTCTTCTTAAGGCTTCCTGCGTTGACTTTGGTCGAAGATCCAGCCCTCACCCCTTGCCCCCCTCTGCCTTCCTCCCTTCCCACTCTGGAGGAAGACAGACTAATCCCTGGAGCTCTTCACTCCTCCTTCTGGGGCTGTTTTTCTCCCCTAAGCCTCAGGAAGGCACGGCTGTTAGGAACAGGATGTTGAGGTCTTGGCCTGGGGGCCCAGAAGGAGGAAGGTGGGTTGCACATGTGGGGCCTCCTCCCCCAGAGGTGACAGGCCCCTTTTCTCCCCACCTTCAGTCACCCTGATGGACACAAGCACGGCACAGGGAGAGTTGGGCTGGCTGCTGGATCCCCCAGAGGATGGGGTAAGTGTCAGGGGAGGGAAGGACCTAGGATGGCTCAAGTCTGAAGGCCAGTGGGAAATTGGGCGGAGAGGTGGGTGGAGGAACAGAGAAAAGAGCTGGAAAAACTGGAAGTGTCTCCTCAGGGAGGGGGAGGGGAAGTGAGTCAGAGCCTCCTGAATGGGACATGGGGGGGGTCAGTCTGCACCCCATGGGGAAGCTTCAATGCCTAGCTCCTCCCCTCCCTGCCCCAGTGAGGGAGGGCTGAATACTTGTGAGGTCCTGCCAGGGATGAGCCCACCTCCTCCTGGGAGAGAATGGACCATCCTGGGGTTGAAGGCTGAGGCCAAAACACAGGAAAAGTGTCTTCAATCCCAATAGAGTTGCACAGATAGGTTTCAGGGGGTCAGAGAACCCCATAAAAGTGTATTCAAAATTGTGTATATGTATGTGGACATTTTTTGCTGGAGAGGAGAGCCAAAGTTTTCATCAAATTCTTCAAAGGGTCTTTGACTCCCCCAAAGTGAAAAGCTGCCCCAGTAGAAGTCCCTGAGCCCTCGGCACGCCCTCCATCCTCCCCAGTCAGGCACACCATGCATTCCAGCTGTTTGAGCCTGCTCCAAGTCCCTGCCCTCCTTGGACATTCCAAATACCCAGTGAGCAGAGGTCGCATCTTGTGAGTCCCAGCGAGTACCTTTCTGAGTACCTTTCCGCTGCTCAGCAGAGCTGGCCGCAGAACCATGGGAGGCTGCCCCATTTCCCTCAGCCGCCAGGACTCTGGCCTCAGCCCTCTCTCCTCTCTGGTCCCAGACTCAGTTCTCTAGGTTTTCCTTTTCCTACTCCAGTAGGAATCTGGCCTTTATTTCTGGGATTGGGGTTCCTTGCTTTCTTTCCCTCTGGGTCCTGGCTCCACTCTCGGCTCTCCCACAGAGTAGCCTGTAATTAGAATTAATAGACTGAACCATAATGTATCCTACAGGACGGGCTGCTTGGAAAATCCTGGATTAGGCCAATCCTAATAGGCGCCTCATCTCATAAACCAGCTAATCACTCCACAGCAAGGGTTGCAGGTCCATCTGCTGGCTCCCACCAGCCTTCACTGTGCCCCTGCCACCCTCACCCAAATAACTCTTCCCTAATTGGGCTGGAGTGGAAGTAAGGCCCCTTTCACAGCTCAGACTAAGCGGTACTAGGAGGGCAAGGAGACAGCAGCAGTCACACAGTCCAACTGTCTGCCTTGTCCATTCTCCCCATCTTTTCAAAACATACACACATACACACACACACACACACACACACACACACACACACACGCATATTGGTTCAGGTTCCCCAGAATGTATCCATGTGGCAGCCAGAAACCCGACTGATAAGTGAAAGGATCCTTGTTGCTGATCCTGGGCAGCTGGTCCTCTCCCATCTGTCACTGCTGGAACTGAGAGAGGCGAGTTACAGCTGGGCACATCTGCTTCTCCTGGCTCCAGCTGCAGCTGTGGCAGTCTAGCTAATGAGCTACACATTAACCACCCACCACCCTTCCACCTGACCTCCACCCCATGCCTTCCACTCTGGCATCCCCATCACAGCTGCCTCTTAAGAACAGCCCTGGGTGCCTTCCATCATTGCAGCTTCATTGCCTCGACACCCGTTGCCCGGTCCCTGAACTCCCTAACATGATGCAAAATATGTGCTCACAGTAGCTTATATTTCTGCCCCTGCCCCACCCTACCCCAAATTCTTTGTTATTGGTGCTTTTTCTTGCCTTTTCCCAGAGCTAAGAGTAGCAATAAAAGCCTGTGCCTGATAGGGAGTAAAAGCCCTTGGGAAAGTGAACTCTCTAAGGGCCTCACAGTGACTTCTCTATAAAATCAAGGGATTGCAACCAAAATGTCAATGGAATATTTTGTAGAATTTAAGAGCTTCTTCCTTAAATTCATCTGACAGAGAAAATACTTAAGAATGGCTGGTAATTTTTTTTGAAAAACAAGAATAATGAAATGGGAGACTTGTCCTACCAGATATCAAAACATACTATGCATCATCTACAATTAACACATGTGGCATTGCACAAGAAGCCTCAGTCAGTGGAGCAGAATAGAAAGTCCAAAAACAAACCCACGTTAGGTGAGATTTTAGTGTGTGGTAACATTAGAATTGCAAATTCATATGGAAAGTATAGCCTAGTCAATAAACTGACAATTAGATGTCCATAGCTAAAAAAGAGAAGGTAAAGTTGCATTTCCAGTTTACACTCTACACAAAAAATTCTAGGGAGATCAAAATCTAAATCTAAAAACCAAAGCTACAAACATATTACGAGAAAATATAGGAGACCTTTATAAGGTTGTGATGGGAGAGGTTCCCAAGCAAAATACACAACCCAAAAAATAACAAAGCAAAGACTATAGATGTCATCATTTAAAAATTTTAAATCGTCATCATTGGCAAAGTTAAGTGGCATGACAGACAGGGAGAAAATATTTGAAACAGACGTTTCAAGCCAATGATTAATGTCTATAATATTAAGAAGAAAGCTCAGCCAAACAAGCAATCAAAAGGTAACAATAGAATATCAAAGATTACAAACAGATAATTGCATAAAGCTACAAATAGCCAGTGAACAAGAGAAACATGCAACCTCCTCCTCAAAGAAAAGTAAGTTAAAATGGCAAGAAGCTGTGTTTTGTCCGTAAGATTGGCGAAAACTAAAAAGATCATCAATATCGAGTGTTGAGCTTTTGAGAAGATGAGCCCTCATGCATTATTGGTGGAAGTGTAAACTGATAAAGCCTTTCCGGAGGACAATTGGCACCATCTTATCAAACGTATATGTTTGCCCTTTGATATAGCAGTTCTACAGAAATCTGTACATTTTCCTTAAAATAAAAAACAAAAAAGCTAGAAGCTACCTAATTGTCCAACAATAGGTGAATGATTAAGTAGGTTATAGTATATCCATTCAATGGAATACTATTTTATGGATTGCTAAAAAGAATTATGTAGATCCATATAGACTCATGTGGGCATCTTTCACAGGCATTTTTCAAAACAAAAAGTAGCTTACAGAATAACATTTGTTATTCTAATACTTGTTAGGAAAAAAAATTATGTTAAAAACACACAAACACAGAAAAACGTTCAAACATTTCTCTAGAGGCACCGAAAATGATCTGGAAAGTTTTACTCCAAATTTGTAAGAGTGGCTCCTTCTGGGAATGGGGTGCACAGAGGGGAGAACTTTTACTTTTTATTATATGTGAGTTTTTATTCTTTGACTTTTTATAATGAGTAGATAGAAGCATAATGATTAAGAGCATAAACCGGATCCATGAGTGCCTGGGTGCACGTCCCAGCTCTGCCTCTTAATAGCTGAGTGCCTTGGGCACATCATTTGACCTCGCTGTGACTCAGTTTCCTCATGGAAAATGCTTTCAACAGTGACTGGCCCATGCTAAGCACTATATTAGTAGTGGTCATTACTAACTAAGCTTAAAAACTTTTTTTAACATAAAAGAAATTAAGTGGCGTGGACTGGATTGTGTCTAGGAGTCCAGCCAACTCTGTCAGTTGTTGATTTTGACAGTGGCCGTAACTGGAAAGAATATTGGAGAAGGTGAAATTCCCTTATACAGACTTCTATGCTCGTTGTTGCCCTCCAGAAGTTTCAGGGCCTCAATATTAAACACAGCCTCTCTTCTCTGAACAAATTAGAAGAAAGGTTTTGTGCATGAGTTTTTGCTATGAAAGTCTGCCTCTGGGGTACCTGACAGCTCTGCTGATCAACTAGGTAAAAATGGGTGCTCCCACTCCTGCAATTCGAGCGGGCTAGTTGAAGGGACCAGGGCTGCTGGCTAGGGATGTTAAGGGGGTGATGTGCTGCCCATCCTATATCCAAATAAATTCCCTACCCTAAATATTTAACCTACTCTCCTGAGGCTGAGGGGTGGGGAGAGGGCAGGACAAGTAACATGGACCTGAGGGCCTCTGACACCCGCCTCCTCTCCGTCAGCTCTAGAAAACCTGAGTTTGGGCTGCAGGTGATGACTTGGAGCCTGACTCTGGTTTTCCTTTCACAGTGGAGTGAGGTGCAGCAGATGCTGAATGGGACACCCCTGTACATGTACCAGGACTGCCCAGTGCAAGAAGGCGGAGACACTGACCACTGGCTTCGCTCCAATTGGATCTACCGGGGGGAGGAGGCGTCACGTGTCCACGTGGAGCTGCAGTTCACCGTGCGGGATTGCAAGAGCTTCCCCGGGGGAGCCAGGCCCCTGGGCTGCAAGGAGACCTTCAACCTCCTGTACATGGAGAGTGACCAGGACGTGGGCATTCAGCTCCGACGGCCCTTGTTCCAGAAGGTGCTCCTACCCCTCAGTGCCATTTCAATCCTGACATTGATCCCTGCCTCACTCCTTTCCATGACCCCACTTAGCTAAGAAAAAGAAAAGGTGGCAGAAACAGAAAGAGAGTGTAGGTGTAGAATAATGGGAAGAATGTGGGACTAGAAATCAGAAGAGCTGGATCTGAGTACCTTTTCTGCTGTGTCCTGACTTTGGGCGCATCACTTAGCCTCTCTGAGCTTTGGTTTCTTTATCTTAAAATAGTGATGATAACAGTGCCAGCCTCATCTGTTTTAGAGGCTTCTGCATGCATCCACTGAGATAGCGGTATGCCCTGGTGGGGGCAGGGAACACGTATTTTGACTTTTTCCATCAGTGCCCACGACATTCACGTGTGACACATCCGCATGAGTATAGCTAGAGTTGTGTAGGAAGATGGTTCTGTGCAGGCTTTCTCTCTAATACCATCCCTTTATCCTATTCAAGAAAACAGACTGGAATGCAGAAGAGTAAGGAGCGTGTTATTACAGGGTGTGCTCTCTTTTTTTCCAAAGAGAAGATGCTGTAAAGTTTCTTATTAGTAATAAATTAATGATGACACATTTTATAACTGATCACTCCATTGGCAGTGAGGCTGGAAACACCTTCAAATAGTGGAAATTATATGGGCTGTAGAGTCCCATGCCTGGGTTCCACTTCTAGCCCCGTCGTGAAGTTAATTGTGTGATCTCAGACAGGGTCTTTAACCTCTCTCAGCCTTGGTTCCCTCATCTGTTAAATGGGGATGGTAATCCATCCTACCTCATAGGATGATTGCATGGAGTCAACAGCACGTAAAATGCTTAGCTCAGTAGCTCACACATAATAAGCCCTCGGTTTATGGTTGTATAAATTGTAAAGTATTAAGCAAACAATCATTTCTGTTATGTGGGAATGAAACATGACTTTGCTGTTGCTCCCCTCTTCCCCCCACCTTCTTCTCAGGTAACCACGGTGGCCGCAGACCAGAGCTTCACCATCCGAGACCTTGCATCCGGCTCAGTGAAACTGAACGTGGAGCACTGCTCCTTGGGCCTCCTGACCCGCCGTGGACTCTACCTTGCTTTCCACAACCCGGGTGCCTGTGTGGCCCTGGTGTCCGTACGGGTGTTCTACCAGCGCTGTCCCGAGGCTGTGCATGGCTTGGCCCAATTTCCTGACACTCTCCCCAGACTGGGCGGGTTGGTGGAAGTGGCAGGGACCTGCTTGCCCCATGCCCAGGCCAGCCCTGGCCCCTCAGGTGCCGCCCGCATGCACTGCAGCCCCGACGGCGAGTGGTTGGTACCGGTGGGGCGGTGCCACTGTGAGCCTGGCTATGAGGAAGGTGGCGATGGCGAGGGATGCCTTGGTAAGGAGACTTGAGGAGGTGGTGAGAACCTGTAGGGACGACTCAAGGGAGGGTCTCTGGGGTGTCAAGGAAAAGAAGGAAACCAACGCTCCACCTCAGCGATTTTTAAACTGAGTGTCCCAGGGCCCCAGGGAGACACATGCAGGGGTGTTTCTGATACATGGGGTGGGGATGAGTGTGATTCTGCCTGTAAGACGCTGGATAACTACGGCTCTACTGCCTTCTCTCTCCAGCCTGCCCTGGCGGCTCCTACCGGGCTGACATGGGTGCACCCCATTGTCTCCAGTGCCCCCAGCACAGCACAGCTGAGACTGAGGGGGCCACCATCTGTACCTGTGAGGACGGCCATTACCGAGCCCCTGGGGAGGGCCCCCAGGCAGCATGTACACGTGAGTCGAGGGGGAGGGGCTAGGCCATCTGTGAGGAGGTGCAGGACCTTTTTTGAGCCTTTGTTAGCGTTGGAATTTTCCAGAGTTTATCACATATTGGGGGCCATGCAGGGTGCTAGACTCTTAAAGCCCCTCCTCTGCCCCCTGCTCTCTCTGGAAGAACGCAGAGATACGCTTAAGCTTCTTTTTCCTCAGTAGGAATCAAATCTCTCAGCAAAGCTTTCATAGGACTTCAAGAATTGTGATGAAAGAAGGCAAGATGTCAGCAGCTTGAGTGAGAACAAAGCAGGCTCCTACTGATGGCCCTTCTTCTCCCACAGGTCCCCCCTCAGCCCCCCAAAACCTGAGCTTCTCTGTTTTGGGGACCAAGCTCTCCCTGAGTTGGCAACCCCCAGCGGATACGGGGGGTCGCCAGGACGTCAGATACAGTGTGGGGTGTTCTCAGTGTCGGGGAGCAGCGCTGGATGGAGGGCCCTGCCAGCCCTGTGGGGGAAGTGTGCGCTTCTCCCCCTCGGCCGACGGGCTCGCTGCTCCTGCTGTGCGTGTTGACGGCCTTGAACCCTACGCCAACTACACCTTTAACATCGCAGCCCAAAATGGAGTGTCAGGGCTGGACACCTCCAAGCCAGCCAGCGCCTTGCTCAGCATCAGCATGGGGCATGCAGGTGAGGGACCTGGAGAGGGGCCGGCACAGGACTGGGAGGAAACCAGAAGGCCGTAAGGCCACAGGGACAAATTGATGGGCAGGATGCAATTGAACAGCTGCTTAAGTTATTTCCTGTCTCCTTCCAAATCCAACTGGAACCCTCGGTTCTCTCAGAGTCACTGTCAGGCCTGTCCCTGAGGCTGGTAAAGAAGGAACCGCGACAGCTGGAGCTGACCTGGGCGGGATCCTGGCCTCGCAGCCCTGGGGGGAACCTAAGCTATGAGCTGCACGTGCTGAACCAGGTGAGGATGCGGCTGAGAGACAGTCTCCAGTGTCTGTGCCTGGGCACACCCCAACATGCTAGCCTGGGGTGCAGGATGGGGAGAAAACTGCCCAAAGTGAACTGTGTGGCTTTCTCAGGATAAAAGTCTGCAGACAGCCTGTTCCCTTAACATTCCCCAACCCGTTTGCCCCCACATGCTCCCGACTGCCCATCATCTCCACCAGGTCTGGCTCTGCATAGCCCAGTTAACATGAGTCCCCATCCTCAGGACGAAGAACGGCATCAGATGGTTCTAGAACCCAGGGTCTTGCTGACTGAACTGCAGCCAGACACCACGTACATCGTCAGAGTCCGAATGCTGACCCCACTGGGCCCTGGCCCTTTCTCCCCTGATCAGGAGTTTCGGACCAGCCCACCAGGTGGGTAGCTTACCCTGTGTTCTGCCCCAAACACATATGCTTCTGTCCTCCACTGAGACTTGGACCACGTTCTAGTCGGTGGCCCTTTCTCTTCCTCTACACACACACACACACACACACACACACGCATGCTGCCTCTTCGGGGAGAACCCCACACGGACTCACGCTGACTCCCCTCCCTGTAGTGGTCTCCTCAGACACACCTACTGGTACTGGACACTGTCAGCCAGTGTCTTATCAAATCCCTGACCCCTCGGCTTTGTGCTCTGCCGCCGGCAGCCCCCAGCTAGTGGTCCCTGTGTGAGGCACTTCCCACATGCTTTCTCTCACCCATCTCCCCGGTTAGGGGACGCACACCCGAGGCCCACTGAGGGACCTGGCCCAGGTGGTCCCTTGTAGCCTCCATCATCCCTCTGGACTCTGAGCCCCCCCAGACTTCCTCACCTTGTGTGCCACAGTTTCCAGGAGCCTGACTGGAGGCGAGATCGTGGCCGTCATCTTTGGGCTGCTGCTGGGTGTAGGTCTGCTGCTCGGGATACTTGTCTTCCGCTCAAGGTGCTGCTCTTGCCCTTCCCCACCCACCATCCTGGTCCCTTTGCCTGGTCAGAAGCCCCTGAATGCAGCCCCAACGACCCTCCCACCCCCTAGTACCAAAGCTCCAGTGTGTCCCTCCACCCACCCTGTGCCCCACCCCCTTTTGTTTCTGGGGAAAACTCAGCCAGTGCCCACTGGGCCCCTGAGGTGGTCCGGGGACCCTGAAGAAGCTGCCCCCTAACCCCCACAGGAAATCTAAGCGGCGACGGCAGCAGAGGCCGCGTGATCATGTCACCAGCGTGAACCGAGGTGAGCCAGGAGTGCCTGTGTGTGTGCGCACACATGTGCGTATGTGTTGGGAGGTGCCGCTGGGATGGGACCAAGGGACCCACATTTGCTAGGCCAACTCTGGGAGCACAAGTGAAGTTGTTGTCTCCAGGGCTCTTGTGTTTTGCTGCCTAATTAACTTTGGTTAATTAACTGTGTCCTGAAAGCCCCCCAGAGGCTCTGTGCCATTGCCTGTTAGCTGCTGGTGCCCCTGTACCTGCACCAGGCTCTGGGCGGCCTTCCCTCTCCTAGCTGGGCAGGTCTGCGGGCTGAGGCTGGGCGGGAGAGGATTGCCAGCAGGCTCCCTAAAGTCCTCTGAGGCATGTGGGCTTCCTGCTGGTCACCTCATTAGTGCCCACAAAAGGGGGAGTCAGTGGTCCATCCAAGTAATGAGGCGGGTGTGAGGCTTGTCTTGGAATGTGAACGAGGTGTGAGTGACTGGAGGAATATGGTGAGCAGCTGTGAGGAGGAAGGGCAAGGAATTCGAAGCGTGGGTCATCGAGCCACGGGAACGTTGGGTAACTTGAGGCCGTGAACACACTTTTGGGCCTGGGTCCTGGCCCACTGCTCTGGCCCTTGGAGGTGGAGGACACCGGAGCTTTGCGTTTAGACAGGAGAAAGGACAGTGGGCTATGGACGCTTTGTTGCCAAGGATGGAGACTTTCTCCCACTTCAGCCACAAAACAGCACTCCTCAGGGAACAGAAGAATGAGAAGTCTGGGGTCTGGAGCTGGCCCCTCTCTGCCTCCCCCACCCAATACTCCTGAGCCCCAATGTGGGAGCTCTTGTGGCCGAGCTCTGCCGTTCTCCCCACAGAGGACAAGCTGTGGCTGAAGCCGTATGTGGACCTCCAGGCATATGAGGACCCTGCCCAGGGAGCCCTGGACTTCACCCAGGAGCTCGATCCAACCTGGCTGATTGTAGACACCGTCATAGGGGAAGGTGAGCCCTGCAGGTTCCCCCCCGTGGCAGCACAGAGCTCCTAGCCAGCCCCTTCCTTCTGGCCCTTCCCTGAGGAGGATCCCAGCTGGCCTTTCCTCTGGCACAAGAGCTCCCCCAGATGAGTTCCCTCCCTGCTCTACCCTGTATCCCCCTTGAACTGCTGTGTTCATGTTATAACCCCCTTATCAGGTGTCCTGGATACGCGCCTCCTACGAGGTCTGCTTCCGTGGTTATGGAGTTTCTGATAAAGAGTGTTAAACACATCCTCTTTGTCAGGAGAGGGATCGCTGTGCCCAGGCTCAGGTTATTCTCAGATGGTTCCCAAACGTGGGAGAAATTCAGAGCCTCCCTCGCCCTGCATTCCACCCCACGAGGGCCCAGTGTCCTTGGGCTGCCCTGATTCCTTGGGTCACCGGGGGAAATGGATCTGAGCAGAGAACAAAGCTTGGCAGTGTCCTTGCTGATCGTGCGGCCAGGTCGGCCAAGCTGTGACCAGAGGAGCTCGCGGAAGAGAGGCGGCAGTGGTCAGCCTCCCGCTCACTTATGCACTGGCCCTGGACCAGCCTGCCCTTCATGAACACACTCCAGGACCACTGCACAATGTGTATTCGCCCAGCATTTACTGATGATCTACCGTTAGCCAAGATCTCTGCTAACCCAGGAGACAGCTGAACAGGTCACAGAGCTGCACTCCTGTCCCAGAGTCCTGTCCCCTTCCCTGGAAAGTACACCCCAAGCCCTTGCCCCAGAAAGGGCATGCTAGGTTTTGGATCCAGAAAGGAAAAGAGAACTGAAGGACTGGAGGATATCGCTGCCTATCCCCCGGGGGAGGCTGACAGTGCATCAGGCCATGGCCCTGTTTTTCTTCTACCCAGGAGAGTTTGGGGAAGTGTATCGAGGGACCCTGAGAATCCCCAGCCAGGACTGCAAGACTGTGGCCATTAAGACGTTGAAAGATACATCTCCAGATGGTCAGTGGTGGAACTTCCTTCGAGAGGCAACTATCATGGGCCAGTTCAACCACCCACACATTCTGCACCTGGAAGGCGTCATCACAAAGAGTATGAGGAGTGGTCTCCGGAAGCCTGGGAGGGATGGGACCACGGAAGCGCAGGGAAGATGTGCTGCCAGGGGCAGAAGTCTGGTTCTGGGTGGAGACAGGGTGGAGGCTGCCGTAGTGACATGTGCTTTGTGTCTCAGGAAAGCCCATCATGATCATCACAGAGTTTATGGAGAACGGAGCCCTGGATGCCTTCTTGAGGGTGAGGCAGGCCGAGGACCAGCTGGGAAAGGGGATGCGCCACGGGTCCCTGGGTATTGGCTCCTGGCCTGGGAAGAAGAGACCCTGCTCATCCCTTAACTCACCCAACTTACCTGCCGCAGGAGCGGGAGGACCAGCTGATCCCTGGACAGCTAGTGGCCATGCTGCAGGGCATTGCATCTGGTATGAACTACCTCAGTGACCACAATTATGTCCACCGGGACCTGGCCGCCAGGAACATCTTAGTGAGTCAGAACCTATGTTGCAAGGTGTCTGACTTCGGCCTGACCCGCTTCCTAGACAACTCTGATGGCACCTATGAAACCCAGGTCAGAGCCCTGTACTCGCCGCATGCATGTTCACACACAATTACATGCCACTCGTGCAGTCACACATATGAGCACGAGATGCATGCTCATTTGGACACAATAACTTCCCATCCCCTTCACACAGCTGTTTTTTCCACCCCCCTTCATGCCCTGAAACACATCAGCTTTCTGTTCCACATGCCCTATTAGGGAGGAAAGATCCCCATCCGTTGGACAGCCCCTGAAGCCATTGCCCATCGGATCTTTACCACGGCCAGCGATGTATGGAGCTTTGGGATCGTGATGTGGGAGGTGCTGAGCTTTGGGGATAAGCCCTATGGGGAGATGAGCAATCAGGAGGTAAGCCCAGGGCAATCCTCCCCACATCATCCCTCAGTCGCTTCTCATCCCTTCCCAAAATCCTCCTGCAAATACCTTTATTTCTTCTTCCTGATCCACAGTTTTTCTGTACTCCTATCTGTTCTGGTCACCTTGGCTCACACCCTCTGTACTACCCCCACCCTGGTCAGGGGGCTGAGAGGCTCCATTGCCATGCTCTTAGGTGAACAGAGGTTTCTCACGGGCCGCCAGGTTAGTTTCCTACCTCAGGCCTCCTTCCCCTCTCTGCTGCTCCAGGTAATGAAGAGTATTGAGGATGGGTACCGGTTGCCCCCTCCCGTGGACTGCCCTGCCCCTCTCTACGAGCTCATGAAGAACTGCTGGGCCTACGACCGGGCCCGCCGGCCCCACTTCCACCAGCTGAAGGCACACCTGGATCATTTGCTTGCCAACCCCCACTCCCTGCGGACCATCGCTAACTTTGATCCCAGGTCACACTGGGGAGGGCAGATCTGGGAGAATGGAAATGGGCCACATTCCCAGTTCAGCCACATTCACCAAGTGCTGGGCCTGGGTGCCAGCATATGAGGCAAGACCACGCCTGCACCCTCAGGGAGAGTCCACCTTGATGTGAGGAGATGTGGTCTTACCCTTGATAGCTCTTGTCTGATAGAAGATAGGAAGCAAACACACTGAGATGGAAGGCACGTGGGAGCAGTGCTTGCAAGCTGATAACCTGCTCCAGGGGGCTGGGTCAGCTCGATTGGGGTGGGGAAGACAGAGAACCCAGCAAGTGCCAGACAGTGGGATGCGAGTCCTGACTTGGGAGGGGCAACCTTGTGGGGTCTGGGAAGGCTCCCAGACTGCGTGGCTAGCATGGGTTGAGGAGCCGAGGGCAGGTGAATCACAATGCAAATAGTGCAGGGTGACAGCAGCGTTCAGGGACAGTGGCCAGAGTTGAAGCTGGAGAGGGGTCAGTGCAAGGAGGACCAGGTCTGCTGAGAAGTTCTGACTTTATGCTGAGCACAGGTTTTTAAATTTTTGAAAACTGTCCATGGGAGGGACATGGTCAGAATTGCATTTTACTAAAAACATTGCCAGAATGTGGAGAATGAACTGGTGGAGGGGGTAAGGTGGGGGAGATGAGCAAGGCCAGACTTCAAATGCTTTATCAGGTCAACTAGCCCTGGTGTGCTGGCCTTTGTATCAAACCACCATATATAACCTTGTTTCTGGGAGAAAATGTGCTCCAAGTTCCAACTTTTGAAACTATCTTTTGGAGCACAACTCCCTTGTACACTGGAGACTGCATGTGCTAATCTTTCTGGAATGTTGGATATTTTTCCCCCAGCAGATTTACTTTGCTAATGGTTTTTGGCTCTGGCTGGCTCTAGTAGAGGAACACTCATTGTATTGTGGGTGTCAGAGTGCAAGAATAACAGCAGAGGTTGGAGGTGGCAAGCAGGGGCTGCTCCCAGAACACAAGGGGCCACCCTGAAAAAAGGCAGGACCACACCCGCCTTCCAAGGCCTCGGCTTTCCTGCCTTCTGCTTCCTCTCAGCCGGGTAGTTGAGACTTTCATTTCTTAACCAGCCTCCAGTCGGTTGTCCAGAGCTGGCCACTCCAGTGGAGGTTCGCTTCTGCTCGAGACTTCTAGGGCTGCTGCTTCACCTCGGTCTGTCAGTGTAGCAGGACTGTCAGCCTGTCTGTTGCTGTGAGCACACCAGGAAACAGGCCAGGAAGTGGGTTTGCAGACAATGGCTGAGTTAATCCACAAAATCTAGATAATCTCTGTGCTCAGACACCCAACTTGAATGCTGGCTGCAGATGCTTGTAGGCTGAGCCCCGATTTCAGGAAAGCTGGGGACGGGAGGCTGAGGACAGCCTCAGCATCTCCCTGAGACTGAGGTAGCCCGTGTCCCACAGGGTGACTCTTCGCCTGCCCAGCTTGAGTGGCTCAGATGGGATCCCCTATCGAAGCGTCCCTGAGTGGCTGGAGTCCATACGAATGAAACGCTACATCCTGCACTTCCACTCAGCCGGGCTGGACACCATGGAGTGTGTGCTGGAGCTGACGGCTGAGTGAGGACCCTGGGGCCCGGGTAGGCCGACGCAGCTGGGGTTTGAGCCACACACTCACAACTGGCCTTCCTTGCCCACAGGGACCTGGTGCAGATGGGGATCACACTGCCGGGACACCAGAAGCGCATTCTTTGCAGTATTCAAGGATTCAAGGACTGAGCCCTCACCTCAGCTGACCCTGTCCTCACGGAGCAAGGATGGGGCTGTGGTCACTCATCGTGTCCCTCCCCTCAACCTACGAGGGGCATTTGGTGCTGCTCCTGCCCACCTCTCCCTGAGGAACTTGCCTCTAGAGCCTCTTTGTTTTAAAAAGGGAGGTGGGGGTAGAAGTAAAAAGATAATTGTGGGAGGGGTCTGGGGGAGGGTTTAATATATATAAACATATACATATATATTTTTGTAAATAAACAGGAACTGAGTTTTCACCTTTACCCTGGTTTTTTATCCCTCTCTCCTCCATCCCACCAGTGAGGGCTGTAGGCACAGAAGAGTTGACTAAGAATTCTGGAAAACAAGGTTTTTATTTGTAGCTGTAGCCACAACCTGGCAGCAAGGGGGCAGGTGGGAATGTCCAGGCAGGTGAGCCCGGCCCAGTCCAGCCTCCCAGAGGGTCAGGGTGTCTCCAGCCCTCAGCAAGCAGAGGACGAGGAGGCCTCTCAGGGGCCAGCCGAGGGCATCGGTGCAGCAGTGAAAGCAGCAGCGCTCAACCTGGCGCCCCCTCAGGTGGGGGAGCTGGGGGGTGGGGGTGGTCCCTGCAGGATAGGGGAGGACTCTGCAGCCTGAGGCCACGTCAGGGCCCTACATCAGGGCACTTGGGACACTGGGGTGGGGTCTGAATGGAGGGAGGGGCTGGACATCAAAAAATAACTGAGGAGGGCGGAGCAGGTGGAGGGGTGGGATGGTCTCAGTGTGGGTGGTCCGCTGATGGGGAATGGGGTTGCAGTCCTCACTCAGGTCTGGGCTCTGGCAGTGTGGCACTTCCGGCAGAGCACGTGGCCGTCGAGGGGGAAGCAGCCGTTATCGTCCGCCTCAATGGACAGCAGCTTCCCACAGTCCTGGGAGGAAGGAAGAGGAGGAGCACAGTGGCGGGAGGCCATTGTGCACCCCCCAGCCCCATCTTTAAGTTAGGAAGACAAATGCTTCCTGCTCAGCTGCTGCCCTCATCATCTGTGTCCCCCTACCACACCCGCCCCCCACTCCTACCCCTCCTTCTGCTATTACCCACTTTCACTTTTTTGTCCCTTGGCCTCTCCTGCACGAGGATGGGCAGTGGGTGAAGCTGCTTCCAAGGCATCCACCCCAGTAAGGGAAATGGGGGCTCTCCCACCTGTCTCAACTCCATTCTGACCTCTTTCTTAACCTCAGAGACCCCAACCCAGACCATAACAAAACGCAATACCCTTCCCTCCCATTGGTCGGACCCCTTTCTTGGTTTATCTGCAACTCAAAGTAACCCTCCAAAACCCCCACACTCTCTTTCCTGCAGCAATGGAGGCATCTGAGCCCGTGGGCATGGGCACTGCCACTGGCCACCCTCAAAATTGCAGCACCCATTCCCACCAGGCTGGCGCCATCCACCACATGGTTGGTGAGCAGTGTCCCACCATTCCAGCCCTGAGGGGCCGCAGGGACAGCTGACCTCACACTTGTAGCACTTCATGTGGAAGTTCTTGTCCAGGGCGACCACTCGCACAGTCTCCTCACGGCCAGGCTCGGGCATGATGGGCTCCGCGCAGACAGAGCACCGCGGGGCATACTGCCTGGAGGGCAGAGAGCAGGTGGGAGTCCAAATGGGGCAAGGCGGCTTGCGCCACCCGTGAGAGCAGAGGAAATGAGATGGCAGTTGCATGCCCACAGGGCAGACTTCTTTGCCCATCTTGCCCCACATCTCTAGGTGGAGGAAGCTCCACAGAAGGGCCTAAGACTGGCTGCCATGACTGGCCCTTATCAAGGGGATTTCCCACCCCTCCGGTCACTCCCCCCAAAGCTTCATCTGCCTGGGAAGCTCTGTCACCAGGTCCTTGCCCCTGTCACATCCACACTGCAGCTCCTGCAGAAAGAACACCCAGAGGCGCCCCTCTCCGGTCTCATCCCTGGACCCCTGACCCTGGCCTACACAGGGCTGAGGCACACAGAGGGATGTGAAGTTCTGGCAGCCCAAGCTGGAATCCCAAAAACGTACGCCTCAAACACCCTGTCGGAATGGGAGCCAGACTCTGCCGTTTTCCCACACCACCCTTTAGCTCCAATACGGGATTTTGCCGCTGGCTTGAGAAAGTAACCACCCTGTAAACATTGTTTCTAGGGGGAAACCAGAGTTCCAAACAGCTGATCTCCAAAGGAGCTTTGGGAAACCAGCCTGTGTGAAATGAAGTCACTGCCGCATACACTGCTGAACACAAGACCACACCCAAAAAGAGCCTCACCGAGCCAAGGCCCTGGGGCAGCGAGGGGGGGGTAGGGGACGGGACTTGCTACCCAGGTCCAAGGCCCCTGGACAGCTAAATCCAGATGAACCAGTCTCTGCCCTCGACAGACAGGATGTGCGGCCAGAAAGCAATACCAGGGGTTTGGAGCTGCCTTGGGGTCAGGGGGCAGCCTGGCTCCTAGACAAACCATGGTTGGAACCCAGAGAGGAGCCTAGAAGGTGGGGGGTGGGTCCTCACTTGTGGTAGTCAGGGACGCAGTGGGGCCAGTTGTTCTGGTCCACAATGAAGGAGGTGCCCTCCAGAGGACAGGCGCAGACCACACAGGTGAAACACTGCGGGTGGTAGGCTTTGCCCGTGGCCCTCAGCATGCGGTCAGTGATAGGCTGCCCACAGGTGTTGCACTTCTCGAGGGTGTCCTGAGGAGGCAGCAGTAGAAGGTTGGCAGGGAGCTGGCACCCAACAGCCAGCTGCCAAGGCACGTCCACCCTTGGCCCCTGGCTGAGCCAGGGGTGCCCCCTCAGCCCCAACCCTGACTCACAGTATAGCAGCCCTCACAGTATGGTGCACCCTCCAGGCTGTAGAACTGCTGTCCTTGCAGCTGCTGCTCACACTGGTGGCAGGTAAAGCAGGTGATGTGGAACAGCTGCCCCAGAGCACGAACTGCGGGCTGTGCACGTGCCAGGGGCTGGTGACACCGGCCACAGAACTCTGAGAAGACCAGAGAAGACAGAAATAAATAGGAGGACAGGGGTAAGTTTGCAAGGGATCAGCTGGCTCGGAGAGGGAGTGGAGCCATAGGCACCGGCCAGCACAGTAATGGAGGGGGCAGATGTCCCAGCAGGTGGGTGGCGGCCTCACCATTGACGGCAACATTCTGCCTCTGAGGATGCTCCATGTCCTGCATCAGCTGCTGGGTCAGCTGCTCCAGCTCCTCCACCTCCTTCAGAGTCAGAGGTCCTGGGGCCCCAGGGGAGCGCACCTGAAACCCCAACACTTTCTTCATACTCTCTCAAGGGTCACCCCCTCCAAGAACCCTCCCAAGCCAGCTAACCCACTTTCTTCCAGTAAGGACTATCTCTCCTCCCATTTCCCAGACACTCAGGTTTGACCCTGAAAGCTCCTCAGTCTCCGCCACCCCCAACCCCCAGCACCACGCAAATACAAGGAAGGAGATGACCCTTCCACCCACTTTGCCCAAACCCCCCTGGGCAGTCACAGACAGGCCAGAATGACTGAGCGGACGGAGGCCACATACACAGCAGCTCAGGTCACTGAAGCACCGAACACACTAGGCCACGCATCAACTCCACAGAGCATGCTTGGACATGGCCCCCCACAGAAGAGGCTGGCACGCGACGGCGTGCGCACCCACGCACACACACACCTACCCGTCCCGCCTGCTGCTGAGCAGCCCCTGTCAGCGTGAGGATACAACACAGGCGGGAATCACAGGTTAAACCCCCAGAGCTGTCTGCAGGTGCCCAGCCCCCAGCTCCCCATGCAGAGGTCCTGCAGTCCCTCCCAAGACAGGGGTTCCTGGACTGCCTGACCCCACTCCCTCCCTAATAGGCCTCAGAGAAGGGCCACTCCCCAGGCCCACCCACCCCTATTTAGGGGATCCTGAGAGATGTGGAGACTGGGGGTAGGGATGGGGTTAGGGGGGTACTCCCAGGAACCCCGAGAAGTCCCAAGAGGAGGTGCCACAAGGCCTGTCTGACCTGCACCAGCATTTCCAAGAGACGCTACAATGGGAACGCTAGTTGGTCTTCTCTATTACTACGTTAAGTCGACCCAGGACTGTGGCCTCCATCACTAAAAGTTCTACATGCCAAAGCCTTCATTCCTGTCACTTGGAACTTCAAAGCCTCCAGCTACCTCTTCCTATGGCCTTCCCCTCTGCCCTGGCTCTACCACCCTCACACCTCAGTCTGCATCCAGAGCTGCATCCGCCCAGGGAAACACAGATCCATAGATGCCCCAGCTCTTAGCCATTTTCCCTGCAGACTCCTGCCACCTCCTGCCCTTAATTGACTGCATCCCGTGAAATCCCCCTCCACAATGTAAGCTTCACCCTTTCCTCTCACAATCTTCCTTTCCTGGCATCTTGGGGACAGAGGAAACGGACTCAGCCAGCCCTTGCTCTCTGGTGCCAGTTGAAATGCCTGTTCCAATCTTTGGAAGTATGAACTACTCATAGACATCAGCTCTCGTGGATAACCATGCTCCTTCAGAACACACTCAATCCAGCCAGTTTTCCCTGTCTGCCTGCCAGCCAGCATCGATGTCACAGTTTGAACACCCATGGCACTCAGACCTCTGGCTCTTCAACTCCAGTGGCTCCAAATTTCCCTCCATCTCAGGCATCTTCCACCATGGGACACCTTGAACCTGAGATTTACTGGTTCCTTTACCTCCAGGACGTTGGGCTTGACCTCCCAACCACTCCCTTCCTCCCCCTTCCCCCATTCATACCTACAGAATGAACCTACTCAGAAAGGCTTCAGTTCCTTTACTGACTCCCAACCTCCCCAGTGAGCCTGTGCATCAAGCCCTTCTGGCTTGCCTCCTCCCAGCCTAGCCCCTTGACCATCTATTTCTACAAGGCTTTCATGGCCACTCTGCTACCCTCAGCCACCAGATAAGGCCTACTCTCAACCCTGGGTCACACCACTGCCTGCTTCCTGTTTCTGCCTCCAAGCTGCAGAAAGTAGGTGGAGAGATCACTGAACACTGCAGAGGGAGTTCCCAGAACACTGCAGCACCCTCCGTGCCCTCCAGTCTCAGCGCGGCTGTCTGGTATTTGCTCATGCGGATTCCCAGTCAAATACTGCGGATTCCCAGTTGTCTTCCCCACAGCAGCTGTTCCAAACCTTTCCATCTCCTGAGCCCCCAACTGCTTCGCCCCCTTGCTCTCCCCGATGACCTCACCTCCTACACGACTTAGAAAATGGAAGCCAGCCAGCTCAAGCTCCCTCCTCGTTCCTCCTCTCCACAGAAAACACTGTGGTGACACTGTCCTTGCTCCCTGACAATGCCTCTGGGGGGTGTCACCACGCTCTCCTCCAGGATTCCAGCCCAGAAGGAGCCCGGCTCTCGGGCATCATTAACCCTCGTCCTTGGGCTTCTTCCTCCTGGTTGACACTCACACCTGAGCGCTCCTCCCCTAACTTGAAGAAATCTCTCTCTCTCACACACACTCTCACACACACACACACACACACACACACACACACACACACACGAACACGAACACAGAGTCCCTCCCCTAGTCATTTCATCTCCCTGCCAACCTCCAAGAGCAGGCTACGCTGGCAACTCCATTTTCTCACCACCCACTCACTCCTCAACTCCTTTCACTATGTCCCCACTACAGGGCACAAACAGGCCACTCCACGGCATCTACGACTCCTGCATAGTCAAATCTCTGGCTTTCTCTTGGTCCTCAAACTCCCCACTGAAGAGCTCTTCAGCCATCACGTTCTCTTCTCTGAGATCCCACCCTGACTTGAGACTGTCCTCCTCCTTCCACCATTCTTCCATCCTTTCTGCGGGCTCTGCTTCCCCTTCCCACCTGGTCAACATGAGCATCACCCACGGTTCTTCCGAGGCTCTCAGCTCCTCCTGTGTTTGCATCCTCGGGCTGCCTCGTCAGGCCCTGCTGCTTTACTATCACTGCACACAACGACCACGCATACGCACATGCCCAGTCCAGGGCCCTCTCCTAAAACCCGGTCCTCCATTTCTAACTGAATTGACAGTTCCAGCTGAAATCTGGAACCTGTTGCTCAACATGTTGACAGCTGGACCCCTCTTCTTCCTGTCGAAACTATTTCCCCTTCTGAACTTCTCTATTTTGTCAGCAATATGGTCATTCTCCAACAAACCCAGGCCTTTCCAACTGCTTATCGGTTACCACGTCCTGGAGGCTCTTCCTTTGCAACAGCTCCTATCTGGGCCTTATTTTTCACTTCGACTAATGTTGTGGACGCCGAGGAGGGAACCCCCACACATCACTGGCCTCCTACCTCTAATCCACACCTCTGCTGGAAAAACTTTCCCCAAAACTTCCAAAAGCATGGCTGTCACCAGCCCTTCCGTCCCGACCACACACCTACTCAGAAACCATTAACAACTCTGCAGTACCCACAGGCTCCCTTGGTGTGCTATTTCATTTCCTCCTCCCTCGAGTCCCCACCTACCTCTCCAAGTATAGCTCGATAATTTTCCCACAGGAACTTTCTACTTTCTATTCTCCAAACACCCTGGCTATACGTATGCCCTTGAGTTTTGCTCATGCTATTCCCACCCGAATGCCCTTCTCTCTCCTCTCCGGATTCTTAGGTCCCACCCATCCTTCAAGGCACACCAGCGCCATGATGCCTGTCCTCACTTGCCAACCCCCGTGGTGACTCCCTGTTTGGAGTTCCTGTAACACAGGATTCTGCAAAACTCATTGGCACTTGGCATCTCTTCCTACACTGTGCCTGCACACACACAGACATTCACGCTACAGTTACTCTATGGCCATCAGGGTCCCTTCAACTCGGGAGATCTCGTCTCCTGAACTGGAAGGCAGGAATGACCAGGTAGGAATGATAGATAACCTTTCTATTTTGAGCATTCATGTGCTAGATACAGACTCCAGCACTTTCTATGCATTAGCTCACTTAATCTTCACAACCATCATATAGGGTCGATGGTGTTATTTTAAAGAACGGGAAACTGAGGCTCAAAGTTCACCTAGCTTGCCTGGGGTCTCATGAGTTGCGAGTGAGAATTCTACCCCAGGTCCACCGACTCCCTCAGGCCTAAGCTCTTTGAGAGATCTCTTCCCTCTCGAGCACAGAGCACAGTGCCTGGCACTCAGCAGAGGCTGGCTCCAGAGTTTACTAATGTGGCGACTCAGCACCAGCTAGGGCCTGGGGCACTGAGCACCTCAGAGGAGCAGAGATATTAACTCAAGAATCCTAGAAGGGAGAAGAACTGAGGTTGGACTGGTTATGATCTCATCTCTCCCCTTTAACACTCTGGGGCAGGGTGCAAAGGAAGGGCAACCAGAGCCACCTCCTAATTCAGAGTCTGTGCTGCTCTCCCCTCCCCGCCCCGCCCCCAGTCTGGCCCCACCCAGCCCCAGACCCTGCAGGCCCTGCTCCAGAAGAGCTTTCTCTCACCGTTGTCTCACCAGTCCACCCCTAGAGGTGGAAAACTCCTATCCCACCACCCGCACACCCACCCTACTCTCCCTGTCAACCTCCTTCTCTGGCTCCTGACTTAGGCGCCCCCCCCAACCCCCTGTCTCAGCCTAGTCCTCCCCCACTCCCTCACCTGGTTTTGATTTTGAGCCGGTGGGGGCACTGGGTGCTGTTTCTCCTGCACGCGGGGCTTCTCCCTCTGTTGAGCATAGGTGAAGCTGGGGGGCTGAGGGGAGCCTGGACCAGTAGAAGAGGGAACTTCAGGGGGTCCCAATTTTTGATTGGGCTGTGACCCGGGTCCACCTGGGGCTCCAGGGCTGAACTTGGAAGCCACAGGAGTAAACTTGGGAGTCACTGGAGAAAACTTAGGGGCTGGAGATGGGGCTGGAGGCCCTCGAGGCTGGGTGTTAGCCAAAGGCACAGACTGGGGCTGGGGCTGAACATGGAGCTGGACCTGAGGCTTGGCCTGGGGCTGGGGCTGCACATGGAACTGTGTCTGGCTGGGAGACTGAGCCTGAGCCTGGGGCAGAGACTGAGAGCTAGAAGGGGACTTCCAAGGAGGCAGGGGTGCTGTGCCCCCAGTTGCAGGCTTAGTACTGGACTTGGAAATGAATGGAGTGGCGACTGCTGGGGGTGTATATCCAGATGACACCTGCAAGGGCAGGCAGAGGGGAGAGAAGTGTGGTTAGAGGAGGGTGCTGCCTTGCCTCCCTAGTTCCATCCCCAGACTTTCCTCCCAGCTCTGCCTCTCCTCCTCTGCTGTCCCTTACCCGGGCTTTGAAGGGATCATTCTTGGTCATGTCATCCAGCAGGGAGGACAGAGAGTCGATCTCCAGATCAATACTGCTCACCTTCTCCCTGGGCTAGAGGGTCAGGGGTCAGAGCACCCATTCCAGTCCTCCATTCCCACCCCACCCCATCAGGGTAGAGGTGCAGGGGAGGTCAGAAGAAAGGACCCTCCTCTCCCCCTTCGGGGGTGTCCCAGTGTAGCTGCCTCTCGGGGGCCTCCATACCTGTGGGGGGAGCGGTATGGGGGCCTCAGGCCCTCCCTCCTCCACCACCGGAGGGGGCGGCGAAGGGAAGATCTCTTCCTCCAGAGGTGCAGGGGGAAATGGTTCCTCGATCGGGGGAGGCGGCGGTGGGAAGGCACCTCCCAGGGAGCCCTCCGTGTCGTCGCCATCCCCAAGGAGGGGTGGGGGCGGTAAGGGCAAGTCTGGGGTAGGAAGGAGTGTGAGCAGTCAGCAGAGAACCCTCTACCCTTCTCCAAGTTCCCTTCCTTCTCCACTTCCAACTCCTAACCCAGAACTTTCTCGGGGGTCCCGGAGCGTTTGGGAAGGAAAGGGGGGTGCAGGACGCCCTGGGAACACGGGGTCAGGAAAGGTCGGGGCTCGGCCAAGGAGCGGTGTAGCTCCCGTTACACTTCGGAAAACGGACCCAGAGGGGAAGATTCGCGCCCCACATCCCCGCCTCCCACCCCCAGGCGGGGGACTTGGAACCGTCCCAGGAGCCCTGGCTCCCCGCCATGAGCTCCACGATGAGGTAAGAACATCTGCTCGGGACAGGGTGGCTGCGCCCAGCCCCCTCTGCTGCAGCCTTTCCAGACACCCCCAAATTCCCGAAACGACTGCCCCCAGCCCGGCGCCCGCCCGGGTCCCCCCCAAGCCCAGCCGCATACCTTCCGGGGGAGGCGGGGGAATCTCGCCCACCCGGCCCATCTGTGCGCGCTGAGCCCCGGCAGCCGAGGGAGCCTCGCTGTCCCCGGGCCGGAAAGGATTCACTTTGGGCTTTGGGGCCACGACCGGGCCGAACTTCTTCTGCGGGGCGTAAAAAGCTGGAGCCGAAACCGAGACGGAGATCGCGGGAGGCGGGCGCGGGGCAGCCATGACCAGGCCGAGCTGTGGACGGTGGGGGGCCGGGTTACGCGGCGCGGAGCCGGCAGAAGACCCCCGTGCCGCCCGGCTCCCCTCGGCGCCTCCCGCCCCTCCCGGTGGCCGGCCGCGGGCGGCTCCCCGCGCCTCACCGCGGGCCGGAGCGTGCACGACGGATCTCGGTGGCCGCCTCGGCGCCGGGTCCGCGGACTCTGCGTCCCGGTCCCGAGCAGCCTTCAGCCAGCCGGGGAGGGACGCAGCGAAGAGGGAGGGCGGGAGGGGGCGGGGAGAGAGCGGCAGCGAGACCATACAAGGAGCGGCCCGGAGAGGGGGCGGGGAGAGGCGGGGAGGGTGGACGAGGCAGGAAACTCCCCCAGGAAGGGGCCCCGATCCTGCCCCGGGGCCGGAGGCTCCACCAAGGTCCTCCCGCCCCCGCCCCCAACCCCCTCCCTCCTGCCCCCGCTGCCGCCCCGGCCAGGCCCAGACCACCCCTCCCCAAGCACAGGCCTCTGATGTCATTTCCTGACTTGCCCCGCCGTCCCCGCTCGACTCGCGGGTGCCCGGGATCTGACTCACTGTCCCCGCTCCGGGCTAAGCCGCCGGAGGTCCGGCGGGTGCCCCAGAGGTACCGAAACAGACGAGTTGCACCTCCGCTGCGGCCCACCCCCCTTCCTCTGCAGGCCTGCTGTTACCCACCCTCGCCACCTCCATCCAGCTTCTCCTCCACCTCCCCACCCAAATCCCCTCCGGGTCAGCCCGGACTGGGCTCCAGGGTGGGCGGGGATGTTGAGCGGGGCGTTCGATTCTGCCCACGCCCCCCTAGGCCCTTCTGTGACCCGGGAGATGGGGGCGTGGGATGCGAGCAGGAACCTTAAGGGTCCTTGGGGGATCCTAACTTCAAATCCTGGGCAGCCTCTTAAGGCTTCTAGGAATTCGCATCACCCGCGCCCCCGCCTGCGGCTCGGTTAAACCTTGCGGGAGGGAGAGACCGGGCCCGCCAGGGTGGGAGTGGAGGTGGGAGGGCGGGGCGGAGGCGAGGGCAGCTGGCGCACTTGGGGCCAGGAAGGACGGGCGTGGACGCGGGCGACACGTCTTCGACAGTTCACCAGCGCCCACCCGTCATGGAACCTTTGGGCGGCGGTGCGGCTATCGGGGGATTCGGAGAGGCACTCGGTGGAGCCCCCCACTGGTCTGACCGGATTCCTCAGCGTAGGACTCTGTGCCCCAGGATATGCGAAAGGGACAGACCTACGTTCTTTTCTTTCCTTTTTTTCAATTGAACATGGAAACTTACCCAATTGCCTCCTGAATTCTTCCACCCTCACTACCTACCAACTGTGGAGTCATATGGCCTTTAAGTCCAATACACCACCCTCAGGAGCTTCTTTTCTCTCCTTCTGTGCTGCCCGCCCTCACTGCCATCTAAGGCAATCCTCTCGTGCACACTCTACTCAGTATTTTCAGTCCCCAGCCCTCCAAATGGGCTACACCCCACTGTCAACGAGCATCTGGACTATGCTCTGGAGATCGTCCAGACTCACCCCTTACATTTGCCATGCATGAGGAAACAGGCTGGGAGCTTGAGAGATGGGTCCAGGGTCAAGCCCAGTTAGCCGCAGGGTCTAGGCTAGAACCCGGTGTTTTGACCTCTCTGATGTCAGAGCTCATTCCCCTACAACCTGGCGTCAGGTGAAGCAATCCTGGATACAACAGAGCAGAGTGAGGTGAGCGTGCAGAGATTCAGCTTGAGTGCCCAAACTAATTGACAAGTCTCTTCATTCTCTCCACTTCATTTTCTCTCTATGTAAGAGTAATGATATTTAATCCACCTACCTTATTGCATTATATGGAGAAATAAATGAAATTCCGTATCTGAAAGCGCTATATAATACTCAGTATTGTTTAAGTCCGAGTTCTGCCCAGAATGGAAATTGCAACGGTTAACCTAAGGCAGTTTTCCCCATATGTCCCCTTCTGGATTGCCAAGAAGATCTCTGATGGGCTTGGTGTATGCAATGCCTTCTCCTTCCTTCAACCTTATCAATACTTAATTATACCTAAGAGTACATCTTCATCTCCCCCTCAGACCCCACTGATCTGTCTTTCCTCTGGCTTCTTACTGTGTTTGTCACCAGCATTTCTCACAACCACCAGCATGTGTGGCCATGTCTGATGTAAAGCATGCAGCACAGACCTTCTTTGACACGTATGAGCTGATCCTGGGCCTGTCCCTATGCGTATCTGCTAGAAATGTGATACTGGATTTCCTGAGCATTTTGGAAATTGTGTCTTGGGCTTAACAGACCAAAAGTGTCATCACCCACTTGGAAAAAATATACCCACTTGGGGAAAAAAGCTAGGAAGATGATTTCCAGATAGTGTCACCAAAGTAAAAGCCATTTATCCTCTAAATGTCTCCTTAAGGAATGTGCATGTGCAAAATATAGTGTGTTTAATTGTTAGGCAGCTGAACCTATTTATAAATCAAGAATAGAAGAGTGCGTAGGCAGGCTTAGTGTTTCTGACAACTAAGAGCATTCGGGATGCAGAATATTAAAGCTGTGAGTTTTAAGCCAGCCATTCTAAATACAAGCAGAAACACAGAGTGTCCCAGAAGGACAGACCCACTAGGCCAAGATGTCTCAAGTGGAATTGCTGGGGCAATGCTATGAAGATGCACACAATGAACAGGAGCAGCCCTAATGATTCTTAGGTCTTTTTCTTAACTAAGCAATTCTGATTGCTCCCCTCAGGTAGCATGTGTGCAGTGTAGCAGGTAAGTAGATGTTCCCATCTAATCATTTCCAACAGCTTGGGGACAGGCAAGGGAGAGGAAGCAAGAAAATGGGCAGGGACCTTTGGAACCTAAAACATCTCTACACACCTCCAAGGATTTATATCCAGCAGGTACCAGAAAGTTTTCTTGAAGGGCACACAACATAAAGTAAAAACTTAGAAGCAGTCAAGAAAAAAAAAAGGGAGGAACAAGAGCTGTGGCAAAAAAGGGAATCTGAAATGAATTCGGGTGCTATCACGAGGGTCTTTCCCGATGCTGGCTGCAGATGGACAGAGGGTAGTTATGCAAGGGGCACTCGAGCAACAGCAGGAACACAACCACCATAACAACAACAACGATAACAGCACACATTTACGTAAAGCTTAGGATATAGCACTAGGAACAATACTAAGCATTTTAAACATCTTTTTTTTGTTCGTGCCATAGAGTGAATTCCAGCTCTTAGCAGTCCTGTGTACAGCAGAGCTAAACGGGCCTGGTCTTTTTGTACTATCCTCTCACCTTCCAGCGCTATATCAGACAATGCTCTGCTGCTATCCATAAGATTTTCATGGCTAATTTTTTTGGAAGTGGGTGGCCAGGTCCTTCTTCCTAGTCTGTCTTACTCTGGAAGCTTCACTGAAACCTGACAACTGATGGTGGGGTGATGTTGTTCCCTGACCCGGAAAGGAACCTGGGCCATGGTGTGACAGCACTGAATCTTAACCACTAGACCACCAGGATAGCTTTTAAACATATTACCCCCATTTAATCCTCACAATAAACTCATGAGGAATGTACATTATTATCCCATTTTTCAGTTAAGAAAACACCAAGGCCGGTTAGATGTTGGATTTTTCACTTCCTAATCTGCAAAAACTTTTTGCAATGTGAATATTATTTGAAGACACCTCTGCCCCCCATTTACATCCTTGCAGTCCATCATTTCTTCCCTTCAGGTGCTTCAGCCTGGTGAATCAACAACCTCTTCGGGTCAGCCTCCAACTCCATCCCCCACTTTAAGACCTTGAGCCACCATTTTCTTTTTCCATCACATGGGGCCATCAAATTCTATCTGGCCATTTGCGTATGTAGATATACAGACACATGTTTTGTATATGTAACTTTTATAGATATTTTTATATTATATATATTTTATATTTAAATATATTAAATATATATGCTATATATTAAATATAATTATATTATATATAATACATATACATTATATATATATATATGCTATTGTATAGTAGAACACTTCCAGAAGGTTTCTCAAAGAATTGTTAGCAGTGGTTGGTGTACAGTATAGAATTAGGGGAAAGCAGAAGACTTTTATAACTGTTGTTTTTTTCTCCATGAACATGTGTTACTTTATAATTTTTTAAAAAGGAACAGAAAGTAGAGAAATGATGGAAGCATCATCTCTTTTTCCGTATATCAGAGTGTTTTCTTGCACCGAGTACTGCGTGCACACGGTCTGTAGCTTTCCCACTTCCTCCCAAATTTACCCCTCTCCTAGTCCCACTTGCATTTGCTTGTCACTGCAAAAGAATCTCTCGGTGGTGGGACTGCAGACACAATGGAGGAGGTGGGTGGGAATGGGGGTGGGGGCCGGTATAGCGCTTAGAAAGACCCAGGGAATTTTGTGGCAAAACCAAGGAAGAGCAGGTTCCTGCCCTGCTCTGATGCCACCCCCAAAGGAAGGGATGGACTGACAACCACAAATGCCCTCTTTTTCTTCCTTTCTTCTAGGATCAGCCCAGTAGGCTGACATCAGAACATCACGCTTTGGGGCCGGCCCGGTGGCGCAGCGGTTAAGTTCGACGTTCCGCTTCTCGGCGGCCCGGGGTTCGCTGGTTTGGATCCTGGGTGCGGACATGGCACTGCTTGGCAGCCATGCTGTGGTAGGCGTCCCACGTATAAACTAGAGGAAGATGGACACGGATGTTAGCTCAGAGCCAGGCTTCCTCAGCAAAAAGAGGAGGACTGGCAGTAGTTAGCTGAGGGCTAATCTTCCTCCAAAAAAAAACAAAAAAAAAAGAACATCACGCTTTGTGCACTTTTCTCTTCCATTCCCCAACCTCAGTTCAACCAATATTTACCAATATCTTCTATATTCCAGGTACTCTGGATATAAACATAAATAAACCCAATTCTTGTCTTCAAGAAACTCTCCAGCTAGAGAAAAAAACAATTAAGTAGATATTTTAGTATAATAAGGTAAAGTCTTAATATTAGAAAAATGTCTTCACCCACCCAATAGTGCTTGCCTGGTGTGGCTACCCTAATTACAGTAGCTGGGTGGCCTTCTCGCCATTTAAACCTCATGATTATTATCCCACCAGGTCCAAAGCAGCAGTGAGCAGAGCCTGCATTGGGCATCTAGGGAGCAGAGAGGAGCAGAAGGCAGGGGTCCGTACATCCCAAGGTTTGAACCAGATGGGCACCCAAAGGCACTGCAGGTGTCAGCAAGGTAGAAATGTGTGCTGGTTGTGGGGGCAGAGCAAGGCAGATGGTC